TAGAGTTTCCGGAGGCATGTTGTTTAGGAAGTGGGTGTCAGTCCTGCTTCCACATACACATACATATGTTAAAGCAATCTTGATTATTTTCCTAATTGAAGAAAGTAGAAGAATTCTAACTAGACAATTTCCAAGCTTGGAAGCACCACTATTGCTCTGTCCTGAATTCTGTAAAAAGATAAATATTTTAATTCCTGTGACAGGACACTTAGTCAGATGGCTAGTTGTTTTCTTCATGAAACTGTCACCGCTCAATTCACTACATCATCCATTAAAAAAAAAAATTCCCAAAACCCCAAAGGTAATCATGAAAGGAAGAAAAAGAAGGAACATATTACTTACTAATTGTGGAAAAGAACATGATAATAAAACCAGCAAACATGGGAATGTGATATCCAATCCTAAAAGGGAATTGGGGGTGGGGGGGATAAAAAGGAATCAGTTCTAATTGTAAAAACTCATCTTGATCAAGTTGGAACTGTCTCAAGGCTGACCTTTTTTTTCAAATATATATTTTGTTTTCATACAAAAGTTTGTTACATTGTGTTTCATTCCTCTAAGTTGTGTTTTATACAGTCTTTCATTTACATTGTTTCATACATTCATATATATTGTCTTTTACACCATTAATTACCATTTATGTATGCCTATTATTATTCCCTCTTTTCAAATCTCTATTGAATCTTTCCTGTTCCTTCACACCCCCATCCATCTGCCCACTGAACTCTGAGATCCTAGTCATTTCCACCACTTTCTCCCTTTCCTCTTTGCCTTTTGGATATTTATACACATCTTACTAGTTATCCTTCTGTTTTTCCAATAATGGTCTTATGCAGTATTTGTCTTTATGAGACTATTGAGTTTTTGAGGTTGTAAATTGGACAGCAGGAGACTGCCTACCTTTCTCCCACAGGTGCATTCAAACCATGAGAAAGGAGCACTCTTTGGTTAGCAGTGCAACCCACTATGACCTCCTCCACCCGTTAAGTATCCACATGATTGCACTCTAGTTTCTTCACTTATGTGGGAACAGGATGCAATTGAGTGCACAGGAAAACATGTCTCTGAATGCAGGTGCAAAGAGGAGATCTGACATGGGAATGAATACAAACAGGAGAACGTGCAAATTTATATATAGGCCCTGGTCAAAATTCTCTTTTCTAGAAAGCCTAGCCTAGTCAGAATGTACACTATCCCTTTGAAACATCAGGGTCATCTCATAACTAACTGCTAGAGGGGCAATGCTGTAAACTGAGAATCAGCTGTTCCACTCTCACTCTCATATCATTCAAGCTATAATACCAATAGTATATGGATGCTCACTGTTCATAATATTCATTATGTTATTACAAAGTTCTGGAGTTCATGACACTTCCTCAATTCTGTTAACCTTTAAGGTAACTAACTTTCCAAATAGGAAACTCCTCCAGGGACCAGACAAGTCACTTTCCTTTTCCCTTCCAGTATGTTGTCTCAGCCCACCCTCTCATTCCTAAACTCCTGAGTATTCTCTGGGGCATTGCAACCACTGAGATACCTGTTGGTGAGAGGCCCCACAAATGGGTTGACCAGAAGTTGCATCAGACCCTTGGAAGCAAACAGAAGCCCAACCCATAAGTTCTCTTCCTCTAAGAACTTTGTGCCTTGCAAACAGTTGTTTTTATGTGCTGAGATGGTTTCAGTGACTGGGGGCAGGGTGGTTCCAGATGCATCACTCATCCATGCCATGCCACTCGTGATATTTTCTTCTGTAGCCACAGTTTTATTGTGAAAAAATGAGCACATTCTCAAAAATGCTGGCAAGGTGTGAGCTTGATGAGAAGTCATGGCAGAGCCCAGGTGCTGCGATGTGTTGATGTGACTGAACTCTGTAGCATACAGGAAGGTGGGCACAATGGGCACTGAAAGTCAAGAAGAACAGGCAGTGTGGGCTCAGGGCAGATCGTCTTTGTAACGCTGACCACATGCAGAGAACATTCCTATCAAGTCCTGCTTTTTGTGGAAGTGTTCTAAGTGATATACCTTGAAGCCCACTAAAAAACTGTCCTGTCAGCCTAAGTCCCTAAAGAGTCCCTGGGTGGTACGAATCGTTAATGCATTTGGTCACTCATTGAGAGACTGAAGATTCAGGTCCACTCAAAGGTACCTCTGAAGAAAAGACTTAGTAGCCTGGACTGAATCCTGAAAAATGCACATTAAAAACTCAAGGAAGAACTCTATTTAAAACTCTGTTCAGTTCTACCCTGAAACAGAGTCTGAGTTCAATTTATCGCAACTTGGTTTGAAGTGCTAAATCTCAATCATCTACTGGATAAACAATTTTGCCTAAGGAAGATTTTTCTTTAAAACACGTACCCTGCTTTTAGCTTTCTTTTAGGACTGACCAGCCAAAATTATATTAAAGTAGCAAAATTGTCATTAAATCCTTAGAAGATAAAATCTCTATTAATAAAAAAAATGACCTAACAACATGTACCCTGACCACAAAGAACAAACAACATAGGAGTTACTTACTTCCGTGAGCTACCCACTTGCATATTGGTATAACTTAATGTGAAAAATCAAAGAACTAGCAACAAGCAAAAAATGGAGCTCTGGGGGAATGAACAACACAAAGGTAGGCTTTGATGTTTTATTCCCAATATGTTGCTGTTAAGTGATGTCGAGTCATAGATGACTCATTGAATGACCCTATGAATGAAAGACCTGAACACTTGTATAACTTTCATCGTTTCTCCATGTTCATAGTTTCCAGAGGCAAGCTATTATGGAAGTGGATGCCACTCCTGCTTCCAACCTTGTTTTAATTGGGGAGTTCCACCAAACACTGTCCACCATGGGTAACCATTATTGCATTTGACACATCAATGCCACAGTGTTCAGCATCACAGCAATCATGAGTTACCACTGTACAGCAAATGGACAGACCAGTGCTATATCACTTAGAAGAAGGTTTGACCAAAAACAATTAAAACCAGGCTTGAGTGTCACAGATTAAGATCACCCACCTTTAGCTTTGTAGCATAACTTTCTATCCTCTATGCCAACAGAGCTCTCTCTGTTGTTGTTAAATGCCGTCGAGTTGTAGACAACTTATAGCGACCCTATGAACGAAAGACCTGAACACTTGTATAACTTTCATCCTTTCTCCAAGTTCATAGGGTTTCCGAGGCAAGCTATTTCTGAAGTGGATGCCACTCCTGATTCCAAGCTTGTTTGTTTGAATATCTAGTATACAGTGCACTATATTGGAAGAGGCGAGACTAGAAAGGTGACAGTGTGAAGATGCTTGATGCTCAGAGGAATGCTGGAGTCATTCAGCACCTTGGGAGACTAATGCAGGAAGGAAGAAGGAGAAGGTCCAGCTCTGGTTCTGGGCCAGCCTCTTTTGGTCAGATAGTCTCTCAAGCTCCTTCTCTTTGAACCTCTGGGGTCAAGAGAAGCTTCAGCCTCTATTTACTACTCTCCTTCTCAACTCTAGCAACTTTTATAAACAATTAATCATAAAAACATTCACCAAGTCCATTTACTGCTGACTCTAGTGTGATGTGTATTGTCTACAGGAGTCTAGAGGCAATTAACCCTCAACACAAAGACCCCCATACGTACCCACCACAGTAAACAGCATGTTGTCCAGAAAGAGAGCAACAAATACCACCAGCAGTACCAGCTTCCGGGACTCTCTGCCTTCCTTCAGCAACTGCTGGGGAGCTTCTAGAACCATCTGGAGCATGGCGAGAGTCTAACTTGCAATGACTTTTCCTCAAGGTGCTTCTCTAGGGAAGGATCCTGTTATAGTAACAAGTCTTCTGAAGTCTTTATAGAAAAGCCAAAATCTACAACAGGCAAAAGAATTCTCTATTAAAGTAAAAAAGGGCATGGGGATGCAAGTGTTTGAATGTAAGCATTAGTAGTAAGGTGGTATTTTGTTCTGGAAGTTTTCCCATGCTTGAGTCTCTGTTCACTTTTTATAAACTTAAAAAAAGCCAACTTCATTGCCTTTAAACTGATTCGAATTCTTGACTACCCCAAGTGTTACAAAGTAAAACTGATAAACAGGGCTTTCAATGGCTTCATTAGGCCAACTCCTTCAAAGTCAAAGTCTTTGCTGTCAAGTCAGAACCCATTCAGAGTTGACCCTATGCCTTTGGAGGCTGTAAATTCCACAGAAGAAGACTGTCCATCTTTCTTCCAAGGAGTAGTTGCTAGATTTGAACTGCCAGAGGAAAATGGCCTTTCAGCAAGTAGTGCAGCTTTCTACAAGACACCACAACCAGAGCTCCAAAGCACAAATAGTGTATACTTTTTAATAAAATATTTTAATTGTGATTTTAATGAAAGTTTACAGAAAAGTTATATTTTCATTTGTTCATTGTTGCACATTTTACCCTCTCTTCCCCTTCCCCCCCTTTTTTTAATAGTCATTCATTGTTATACAAGTTCTTCCCTCCCCACCTTAAGTCCTCTTTACAATGTGTCTCTTATTCTGGGATGTTGTCATATGTTTAATACCTAATTATATATTCCTTTTAAACAGTTTTTTCCTCTATTCCAATGCAGTACGCATTATTTATTCTCTTCTTTTTCAGTTTTTCCCCAACCCCCATGTCAGTCCTGTTCTGTAACAGTGGTGTTAAGTTGTATTTGTACTTTTGTGACTGAGATATTTCACCCAGCATAATGTCTTTCAGGGTCACCCATGTTGTGTAATATTCCTTGTTTTTCAGTGCTGCATAGTATTCCATGTGTGAATATACCATAGTTTTTCTATTCATTAATTTGCTGATGCGCATTTGGGTTTCTTCCATATCTTTGGAACCTCAACAAGAAAAAGGTAAACAGCCCAAATTCAAAATGGGCACAGGATATAAATAAACACTTCACCAAAGAAGACATCCAGGTGACAGACAAACATGTGAAGAAGTGTTCAAAACCCCTAGCTCTCAAAGAGATGCAAATAAAAACAACTATGAGATACCATCTCACCCCAGTAACAATAGCAAAGTTCAGTAGAGCAGCAAACAAAAAATGCTAGTGAGGTTGTGGAAATATTGTCTGTAGAAAGCTGCACTACTTGCTGGAACCCTTATTCATTGCTGGTGGGAGTGTAAAATGGTACAATCACTATGGAAGAAAGTTTAGTGCTTTCTCAAAAAGTTGGAAATAGAAATACCCTGTGATCCAGCAATTCCACTTCTAGGAATATACTATAAAGAAAGCAGAGCTGTCACCAAAACAGATATATGGACACTCATGTTTATTGCTGTGTTATTCACAAATGGTTTATACTCGATAACTCACCTAAAGTTTGGAAGTTTCAACCAGGAGTGCCACAGAAGAAATACCTGGCTATCTGTTTCATTACAATCAATAGAAGATTATGAACAATTCTACTCTAACACGTGGGGATCACCATAAATTGAGATCTACTTGATGGAAATAGGTAATCTTACAGTCATAGGTTGTCTTCATTCTGTGGTGCCAACCAATAGACCATTTTTTCTGTTAACAGTTCAGCAAATTGTCTGTACAACTTGAAAATCTCAACAATTCTAAATCTCAATAAATCTCAATGTCTTCTGGATATTTGGCCTTTGAGTCTGGCTTCTGAAAATAGACGTTGGAATTTATAAGTAATGAAAGTGTTGTTTGCTTTCTAAAATGGGTAGTAAACAACATAAACACGTATAAATGAGTAGGGGTTACTTAGGCTCCACTTTAGCAAATCTTAGGAAGTGAAGGAAACACAATACAGCCAATGAGACTATTCATTGACTGAATGAATCATAACGATGTATTAAGGCCCCAGACATGCATATTCATTGAGGTCCCAATAACAAGGGACCCCTGAACTTTGGATCTCTCTTTTGGGGGCTTGCTGGAGTGTCAAGGACATCAATGGACAGGAAAACATGCCACTTCCTCCTTAGGGACGACGGATATGACCACCTCTAGATCTTTTGCCTATCTTCACTTAAGTCCCTGCTTGCTATAATAAACACATAATTACATTACTCAATTATCCTCACAACAAAAAATAACTAAATTTTTACAATATTCTAATCAATGATCATTAATGTTATGAAACAAAATATCTACGAATGACTGCATTAAAAACCAATATGATTTGGAAATTTTTATTCAAATAAAAAATAAGTGGATAATTATATGCATAAGTAGTAGCCATGAGTCAGTCTTGCAAATAAATGTAGAAAGCAGGGAGAGGCAATAAGGTTTTCATCTATTTGACCAAAACGGCCCAAATATGGTATTCGTCTGATTGGCAGGAGCTGGAAAGAAAGAGCCTTCACTGTGGAGATTCAACTCTAAGCAGTTAGGGACAGAGAAAGTGTCACGTGAGTGTCTGATATTAGGATGGTAAAGAAGTGGGAAGTGGGGATGTGAGCTATCTGGTTTACTGTTAGAGATACAACACCTATCAGTTCATTGTATTAGTGAATGATTGTATGTTGCTAACTACTTTGTAGTTTAGGTGGGTATATGCTTGCTTGTTTATTGTTGCTCTTATTGGTACAGTACCTGTCTGTCAGTTTGCTGTACTAGGGTAACTTGTGAGCTGCTGTGATGCTGGTAGTTACACCAACAGTGTTTCAAATGCCAGAAGAGTCACCAATGGTGGACAGGTTTCAGCAGAGCTCTCAGACCAAGACTGACTAAGAAGCAGAATTGACCATCCACTTCTCAAATAACTGGCCTCTGAAAACCCTATGAATAAATACTTTGGGGCTATTACTAGACGAGGTTATTCCTTGGAGAAGGGCATCATGCTTGGAAAAGATGGTCAGGAAAAGATAAGACCTTTAATGAGATGGGTTGGCAGTGATGAGGATGGCATAGCATAGGACAGGGTTCAGATCTATTGTTCATAGAGTCATTATGAGTTGTACTCAACAACATATAACAATTGATTATTATTTATGTCTTGATTTTTACCTAACGCAGCCTAAAAGGGACTCTATAGATCACTCAACTCTTGTTTCTCAAACTGCAGACATTGTCCCATCACTTCGATTGCTTAGATCACTTTGAATTTATTTACTTATTTTTTCTTTCAATTATTATTTTTAAAACTGAGATTCCTTTTCAAAGCAGCTTTACATGTTATGAGAAATATTGGTCTCTGTTGTTGTTTGTTGTGTTGTTGTTATATGCCATTAAGTATGACTCATAGTCATGAG